GACTGCCCATCGTGGGCATTGTCCCAACCATTTTCCAATTGCATTTGACAACGAGAGAACAACTAATGATGGCAGGGAACATAGTTCACATTAGACACCGTCATCACTGGGCCCCACATGGTCACCTGATACTACATACCCACTATACACATTAAGATTCCCTCCATCAGTATCCTTGTTCCCACCTCCAAAATATCCCTCTGTGTCCTCCCTCCCAGCCTTGATTCCCCGACCCACTTTGGCAGTAATCCCCTGCTGCACCTACAAGCCCTCCTTGACAGATGGACTCCAGGACTATGTTCATCCTAGACCTGCGAACACATTTGATGAGCAGCCCTTGACATGACTGACCAATCCCTGATCATTGTCTTTGCAGCTCCCTGACTGCTGGTGCTGGGCCTATAGGATGAACCAGTGCCCACTCCCTAGAGGGCAGTGGGACAGATTCCCTGACAGTGAGTGTCATGAGCTGATGACTGTAGATTGTGCCCCTGACTGATGATATCAGCACAAGCTGACAGACACCACCTCTGTCCCACCCACCAGCACCACCAACCACCCCCGCCCACCCAAATCCCCACCATGACTTAACTGAGGTCTACCCCTACCTAGTTCCTGACCAGGCCGTTTGGTTAATTGTAAGTGGTGTGTTTGCCCCATAGCCAGCTGGCACTTGCTGTAGGTGTTTTCAATGGTCACTTTATAAAACCAGTTTAATGAATCACAAGGGCTGCTGTAGCTTTACAATTTGAATATTTCATGTACAGTATAGTGGTTAGACAGAAAGAAACTGATTTCATTTCAATAAGATCTACTAAAACTTTGTGACACAGCAGCAATGTACATCCAATAAATGCACTAAGATATGAACAATATCCAGGCTTGGGCTGAGAAGTGGCATTGAACATTTGTGCCACAAATGCCAGGCAATGACCATGTCCAATAGAGACAATCTAATCACCACCCCTTGACATTCATTGGTGTTACCATCGTGGAATCCTGAGGTTACCACTAACCAAATCCTGAACTGGGCTAGCCACATAGAATACAGTGACAGACTACGAATCCAGCAGTAACTCACCTCCTGAATCCCTAAAGCCTGTCCGCTACCTACAAAGTACGAGTCAAGAGTGTGATGGAATATAACCCACTTACCTGGATGGGTACAGCTGCAACAACACAAGAAGCTTGACACCATTCAGGGCAAAGCAGCCAGCCTCATTGACACCATATCCACAAACATTCACTCCCTCCACTACCAATGCTCAGTTGCAGCAGTGCATACCATCTACAAGATGCACTGCAGAAATTCACCAAAGCTCCTTAGTCAGCAGCTTCCAAACCCACAACCATTTCCACCTAGAAGGACAAGGGCAGCTGATACAAAGGAATACTGCCCTCTGCAAGTTCCCCTCCATGTCACTTGTCATCCTGACTTGGAAATATATTGCTGCGCCTTCAGCGTCATTTGATCAAATCCTGAAATCCCCTCCCTGTTGGCATTGTGGAGGTACCTGGAGCACATGGACTGTAGCTGTTCAAGATGGCAACTCGCCATCACCTTCTCAAGAGCAGGTAATAAGTACCGACTCAGCCAGTAATGGCCATATCCCACGAGTGAATTAAAAAAGAGCTTTTTAAAATGCTGTTGGGAAGGCTGGCACAATGCCACGTGAAGGCATCAGGTTATTTGCCATTGCTTTCCCACTGCCGTACCTTGTCGGACAGGTAAAGTGGCAAATGGCCCACCAACCAGAGCTCAATTAAGCCACTTAAGCATTAAGGAGCTCTTTCCTCACCGTCCGCCACTGCACAACAAGATCCCAGAAGAGATCCAGATCTTTCTTTTTCTTATGCTAATCTGATGAAGATCAAACACTATATATTATCCTAAATGCTTGAGGCATAATAGTAAAAGGAAAAGCATCTGGAGAAATCTTCAGCACTTAATGCCTGGTTGAGCATGTTTGGATTGCCAATAATGCAAACCAGTGGGCTGACCGCATTCAGAAAAGCCAGGTCTACCTGCAACTGAACATTGTACCCCGTCACCAAAAAGTATGTGCTTTATTTTATAAGGACTGACAATCACACTCAAATTGCCACTCCCTCCTATACTTTTATGTTAAAGAAGTCCACATTTCTGTCAGGAGATTCTGATCAGGGCTCTTTCTGAAATGTGGAGCGCACTATAAATCTGACATGTGTCTCATGGTGTGGGATACTTAGGGGGAAGTCAAACCTTATCCTTTTCTCATAGAAGTAGTTGTTGTATTCTGTGATTTAGATGTCTAACATCACAGATACCCTTTGACAGAAGCTGTCAAATTAATAAGTGGATAAGGTAGATGTGAAGTTTGGGTGCGAAGAGGATAGGGTGCAAATTGATAGTGTGCCAGGTGGTAGGGATTGGGATGCCAGGTATGTCAGAGGTAGTGTACTAGGTAAGCAGGGTCTACCCTGATGTGTATGATATTAGGGCTCAAGATGTGAAGCGGGCCAGGTCAATGATGGAGCATTTGGAGTGGGCTGTGTGGTCAGGCAATTTTTAGTGTTTTGTGGGACGTCAAATTCAGTGGTCGAGAAGGGGCTATGTAGCATCCAGTGCAAGTGAGGAGGTGACAGGTTCTGGGGGAGAGGGGTTTTGGGTCTGGTGGTGGAGGGACACTGGGTTGCAGGGGGCCAGGGAGGTGTTGTATCCTAAGAGAAAAAGTGACTGGTCAGGGTCTTGAGGGGAGGGGAGGGGGTTGAGAGGTCAGGGGAGATCAAGTTTGGGGTCTGTGGTAAGTTGGGAGGAGATCCATTTAATAGTTACCCAGGAGTGAGACTAGGTTTTAAGTTGTCTAACTTGTCTTACATAATTATTTACTTAACAGCAGCAAACTCCTCCAAACTTTCAAATTCGAATGGATACTTCCAGAGGGTATCAAGCATAGGAGAATTTCCCACTGGAATCTGCAATTACCTGAGGAATTTGCTGTCTGCTACATCAAGCATTCTACAGACTTTGATGCACAACTGCCATCCACCCTGCAGAAATGACTATCTCGCCATCAGAAAATCTGGGCTTATAATTTTTTAAAATACCCCCCAATATGCATACTCCTCCTAGCTCTGTATTATAGCTACAAATGAATAACAGATGCCCTGAAATTTTCTAAGGAATAACATTTTTGATTTTCATTTCATAGTTCTCCAAAACAATTTCCGTGACTGTCGCTATAATCTCTTGCATTACTTCTGACAGAATGCTGCTTTTTACTGCACTAATATCCAAACAATATCATAATAAGCTAAAGTTATAACGAAAGTAAGATGAATTATTTTGGCATCATAAGTACAGACTTGAGATGAATCGAGAAATTTATCATGTTTTCCAAACCAATCGGAATTGCTCATATTCCAAAGGTTCAAAATCTTGTTTCAACCTATTCACCTTATTCTGAGCAAATGATTTTGTGCACAAAATAAAAAGTTTTCCCTTACCATTTTAGTAACAAAAATGAATTAGTTACTCATTATGAAATCTGTTCAATATCCACATAATAGATAGCAAAAACAGGTACTGCAGCTGCTACACTCCCATGACATTTAGAACTTTGTCAATTTCCTCCACCATTAGCATATTGGAGGTTACTGCTGAACAAGCAGCAACACTAATACCATAGCTATAAAAGCAGGGTCAGAAATTGATTACTCTGGAATGAAAAGTACAGTTCTTGATCTCTCAAAAACATCTACAAGCTTTAAATAAGAATTACATTGTAATATTACTTGCCTGGATCAACAAAGCGACAACATTAAGGAAATTTGACACCATCCAAATCAGGGCAATTTGTTTGACAGACACCTTTATTTTCTGATTGATGCTCACTCCTCTAGTACTCAATAGGTAAAGTATTTACCATTGACAATGTGTAGTAGACTGTCATGGTTATCTGAACAGCATCTCTCCCTTACCATTTCTACCACGAAGAACGTAAAAGACATGCATCCTATGATCATGACTATCTCCTAGTAGCTCAACATCCAGATCTGCATTAATGTTGTTGTTCTATCATCTTCAGCATTAACACCAGGACTGCAATGGTTCAAGGAGAAGCCTTAAACATATCTTCACAGAGCAACTAGGATTAGGTAATGAACGCACTCTGCTAATATCACCGACATCCTAAAAATAAAATAAACACAACCAAAAAGGCTAAAATTGAAATATCAGAAATCTTTAGCGCATGAGGTTTACACTCTTTATACAAGTGAATAGCAACTCTCAGCATCTTTCTGTGTTGGTTGTGAGGCCTAGTGAAAGAAATTTACAACATGGCAGGAGGCAGTCCAACCCTTTGTTCCTGTCTTGGCTGGTTTAAAAAAAGTAGTGGTGTTTAGTTCCACATACACTGCAAACCTCATCCTCAAGTGCCTCTCTATCTCTCAAATTATTTATGAAATCAGCTTTTGCCATCTTCTTATATTGAGCAATACAGATTCTGACCACTCAGTAATGAAATTTCTCATCTCCTCTCTAGATCTTTTTCTCAATGAGTTGAAGTATTTCTAGTTATTGACCTCTTGCCAGAGTTCTGCAATTTCTATCTGCTTGATCAATATCTCTCAGCATCTCAAAACACTCTATGAAATAAACTCTTAATTTCTTCTTCCAAATAAAAAGTCCTAGTTTTCCCACTTCTCCACATAACTGAGTCTCCTTGTCCCTGGTAGCATCTTAGTAATCCTCCTCCCTGGTAACATCTTAGTAATCCTCCTCTGAATTCTTTCCAAGATTACTTTCCAATTACTTTCCTGAAGTTTGATATACATAATTTCCCATGATACTCCTGCTGAAGCCTAACCAGTGAATTTGTGATCTGAGATTTATACATTAAACTGATCATTTGTATTCTCTTTCCACAATGGCGTTCTGTCATTGAGATTCATCCAGACTATTCGTTTGCTTAAAATAAAACTGTGGTACATTCAAATATTATGAATATTTGTCCTACCTTCATAGAAATCAGAGGTGCACAGAGTTGTACCAATGATGGTGTCAAATTGATTGGTTTCTTTGCTGCAGTTCAGCAGTTCCTGAACCAGACATTCATTTAGTACTGTGGAGTAAGGCTTGATCGTCCCCATTACATTCTGTTCAAAGTGTGGTTGGAAGCAAGCATCGACTGAGACTTTGCTGATCACAACTGTGCCTGGCTGCAAGCCTGAGAAATGGAAAAAAAACAAAAATTGAAATCCAATACAATGAACATCATTTATAAATGCTGTTATGTTCTATCTACCCAAATCCAGGTCATTCCTATATATTTAAAAGATCAGTTCTAAAACTGACCTCTGGGGATACACTTTTTAGTTTGTTTTATTTTGAAAAATTACCATTCACTACTAATCTTTGCTTTGGTAATCAATTCTATATCCACACTGCCATTGCCCCATTAATCACATGGTCTTCAATGATGGTAAAATGTCCTTTTAGGCCAATTTATTTAATGCCTTTTGAAAGTTTACATACATAGTAACCAAAATTCCTTATCAACTATCTCTATTATTTCAGTAAAGAACACAATTAAATTTGATATATATAATTTACATTTAACATAGCTAAGCTGATTGTCATTTACTAACCAAAGCTTTTCCAAGTAAAATTTAATTTTGTTACAAATTATGATCTCTATTGCTCAATGTTGATCTTAGGCTAATTTGTCTGCAGTCACTGGCTTAACCTCTCCCACTGCTTTTTGAACAACATTTGTAACCATTGAGTCATAGAGATGTGCAGCATGGAAACAGACTCTTCAATCCAACTCATCCATGCTGACCAGATATCCTAAGTTAATCTAATACCATTTGCCAGCATTTTGGATCAGCATTTAAACCCTTCCTATTTACGTACCCATTCAGATGCCTTTTAAATGTTGTAATTGTACAACCACTTCCTCTGGCAGTTCATTCCATACATGCATCACCCTCTGTGTGAAAAAGCTGCCCTTTTAGTCCCTTTTATATCTTTCTCCTCTCACCTTAAACCTATGCCCTCTAGACTCCCCTACCTTGGGTAAAAGACCTTAGCTATTCACCCTATCTGTTCCCCCATTAATTTATAAGCCTCTATGAAGTCACCCCTCAGCCTCCGATGCTCCAGGAAAAATAGCCCCAGCCCATTTAGCCACTCCCTATAGCTCAAACCCTCCAATCCCAGCAACATCCTTGTAAATCTTTTCTGAACTCTTTCAAGTTTCACTGCATCTTTCTTATCACAGGGAAACCAGAACTGAACGCAGTATTCCAACAGTGGCCTAACTTTTGTTCTGTACAGCCACAACATGGCATCCCAACCCCTACACTCAATGGACTGACCAATGAAGGCAAGCATGCCAAAAATTTTCTTCATCACTCTATCTACCTGTGAATCCACCTTCAAGGAACTATGAACCTACACTCCAAGGTCTCTTTGTTCAGCAACATTCCCCAGGATCCTACCATTAACTATATAAATCCTGCCCTGGTTTGCCTCACCAAATACAACATCTCATAACTATCTAAATTAAACTCCATCAGCCACTCCTTGGCCCAGCCACCCGTCTGATCAAGGTCCCATTGTACTCTGAGATAACCTTCTTCACTGTCTACTAAGCCACCTATTTTGGTGTCATCTGAAAATGTATTAACCATTCCCAAATTCACATCCAAATCATTATATAATGACAAAAGCAGTGGACCAGGCACTGATGCTTGCAGCATACCACTGGGCACAAGCCTCTAGCCTGAAAAACAACACTCCACCACATCCTCTGCCTTCTACCTTCAAGCCAATTTTGTACCCAAGTGGCTGGCTCTCCATGGACTCAATGTGATCTAACCTTGCCAGCCAGTCTACCATATGGAACCTTATCGAATGCCTTGTTGAAGTCCATAAAGACAATGTCCACCACTCTGTCTTCATCAAACCTCTTTGTCACTTCTTCAAAAAACTCAATCAAGTTAGTGAGATATAATTTCCCATGCACAAAGCCATGTCGACTATCCTTAACCAGTCCTTGCCTTTCCAAAATAAATCCTGTCCTTCAGAAACCCCTCCACCAACTTACCCATCACTGGTGTCATGCTCACTGATCTACAGTTCCCTGCCTATTCCTTACCATCTTTCTTAAATAATAGCACCACATTAGCATTCCTCCAGTCTTCTGGCATCTTACCCGTGGCTATGTATGCTATAAGTATCTCAGCAAGGGGCCCAGCAATCACTTCCCTAGCTGCCCACAAATTTCTGGGGACACACCTGATCCAGTCCCTGGGATTGTATACTAAAATTCTCCATGTCAGTTTAGAGTAATAAGCTATTTAGATCACTGCATTCCTGAGTGTAAATCACTTATCAACACAACACAAACTAAATTTACATTGATGTGTAACACTATGTACAGGGGACATGAGTCCATAAAACAAACTATTTTAATTTCAATATACAACCCTTCAGAACTGTGACATCACTACTCTCTCTGTTTTTTACACCATAATTCCTTTGGTAAACAGGGCAGTATCCCCATACACCAGGTGATTTTTCTACTTGCAGCACTGCCAACATTTGAAGTACTTTGCTTTGCCTACTTTCATTTTATGCAATCTCTTTACTTTTCTCCTTTCTGTTGACATTGGCTCATCCTCTTTTGAGAATAGTGCCAAAATAAATATGATCATCTCAGCTGTAGTTTATACACCTCCTTAACAAGATTGTCCTTATGATCCTGATTTTCCCTCACCATTCATTTTCCTTTGGCTACCTTTTTACTCCTTTGTGATATCCACTAATTTTTATTCATGCATTTGTCTTGACCCTTTCCTTTCTCAGGTCTGCTTAGAAATGCATAGTCAAACATATTTTACATGTAGCTCACTCGTGCCCTCAGTATACACTGTTCCACGTCAATGTAGTCAATATAAGTTTTGTTTATCTATCCCAGCACTGTACTTTACGGACATTACTGTATTTCAAAATCAGACAGATTTAATCAGCACAGACATTCAGCAACATGTTTTGAAATCCATTTCTTATCAAAAATGTGATGTTGACATTTTGGATGTTAGAGTGACAGACAAAAACAAAAATGCAAAATCCAAACTATTAGATTTTCATAACAATGCCAGAAATCTGTGTAAATGTGCCTTTTCATATTCTTTTTTATAAGCAGTCATTTAACTCCCTTAAAAGTTCTTATGGGCTCTGCAATATTTTGTGTCAGTCCCTTATCAGTGAAACTTTGGTCAATGTTCATCATGGAAAAATTCTAATTCATTTCCTTGTGACCTCAAATGCAATAGCTAGGTATGAATGAACATTGATTTACAGTCACTTGCATTTAACAGTGAACAATACAGTAAAGCACAGTGAAAAGCTTCAATTGTCACTGCAATCCAGCACCATTTTGAATAGTTCAAGAAGAAAGAGATATAACTGAAAGAGAGTCTTTCTTCATTCCGCTGCCTTCACCATGAGTCCTGAGTCAGTCCATCAGCAACATCTGAGCTGCCACTCCTCCTCCACCGCCTGCACTGGACCAACCAACATAGGAGTCGTATCTCTTCAGGTGCTATCTGATCGCTGTTGGGCCCACTTCGCCGATGCTGCTGTCGAGTCACATGCTAAACCCATACTCGCCCTGCAACAGGAGTCCCTGGATCTGCTGTTACCTCACCAATAACCAGGAGCCCCTGCTCTGGGCCTACTGCGACCAGGAGACCCTGGTTCTGCTCCCCAGGCCACGAGTCCCCACTCTGGGCCTACTGTAGATATTCAAATGTAGATAAACTATTTATACAATATATACTTGCATTAATCTTCCAGTAATGTTTGGTAAACTGCCTGAGCAGTATGTTGGGTGCTGTAGCTGTTAATTAATGTTCTAGATGTCTCCCAGTCTGGAAATGCCACATGGAATTCCTTGTTGCGTACACTATACTTAGCCATCCACTGTCACTTTCCTTAATCTCATTGTCTTTTCTGTTCAATTTCCCATGTCTCTTATTGTTGTGCACATTAGCCTTAACTAGATCATGTGCAATCTGGCAGGGAGAAGGTAAGAAAACAGCACAAAGTACAATGCTCATTCAGAGAGCTGGCACAGACATGATGCCCTGAATGGTCCCTTTTTGTGTTGGAATACATCTGTGATTCTGTGATACAACTGCACCCTCAAATTTTGTAGTGCTATTGCATTGGGCAATAATGGAGCAATATCCAGCTGTTGTGATATATTACTTAACATACTTAAGTATTACTTAAGATTTGATATATTACTTAAGGTTTAAGGCAACTTTGTCCCAGCTCATCTTATCTCTCTTACTAGCTGTTGTGTTTAGAATTAATCTTACTAATTCTTAATCTTAATTTTCCAGAGTGTGATTTCTGACCAGAAACTGTCTCACCTATGCTGAAGTCTATTTTTCTACCCAGTCTGAACTTAGTAACTTCTAAATTTGTCACTGTTTTTTACTTTGCAATAAATGCTTAGAATCTCCTGTTTCCTCATTTCATGAAAATACCTCTGGCAGTATGATCTCCAATAAAATCATCACAGTCCTTCCAGACCGTATGGCTGCTCTGTCTTTAGAGAGAGAGAGATATATGATTGGTGTTGGTCTAATCTGAGAGTCACCACATCTCAGGCAAAGGGAGAAGTTGAGAAGGACAGTCCTTAATGGTAACCTCAGCCAGTGTGGGAATTGAAGCCATACTATCAGCATCACTCTGCATCACAAACCAGCCGAGCAACCAACTGAGCTAACTGACCCCTCCCAAATACCAGGATACTGTACCTATTCCACCTGAGGTTCCAATACGAAAGGCAACAACATCAGTGCACTTGGCATGATACAGCAACTTGATGAGCTCATGTAACATGATTGACATTGAGGGAATTCCCATGCCATGCTGAAAAAGAACAGAAATTCAAAATTACATATGTTTTCTTCATATTTCATCAAATTTTAGCCTCTGTCTCTATCAGAAATTTCAGAAATGTGTATGACTTACAGGGTTTGGATTTGTAATGTGCCTTTACTCTAGTAACAATCTCAAAACAAAATTGGAATTGAGCTGCAGGAGAACTGGAAGGGGAAGAGACTACAAGCATGAGCAAGATTTCTTATTACAATACAATGTGGAGCTGTATTTTTGCACAGAAGGGGCCCAACCCAAAACATCAACTTTTCTGCTCCTCTGATGCTACCTGACCTGCTGTGCTCTTCCACCTCTACAATATATTGTCTCTGAATCCAGCATCTGCAGTTCTTGCAACTCCAAGACTTTTTTTATTAGTCTACTTGAGTGTCTGAAAAGCATCAAAACTGATCAGCAAATAAATCACCAACCATATTACTGAGAAATCCACATAGTTTATGTAAGCAAATTCTCTCTCCGTAGGGCCAAATTACACTTAGCCAGGTATGAAGAACTTGCTACAACTTGGCAACAGTCATGTTTTAGGGGCTTGAAAGTACACAGAAAGGTACCAGTAGGCTAACCAGGTAAAGCCTCACACTGAGAGATTGACTGCTCCTTGCCTTTCCAGGTTTACCATATCTCTTAGGACATTGTTTTCTAATACAGGCTGAAATGGAGGAATATTAATTCCAAACCCTCAGAAGAGTTCTGGCCTTCCAGATACCATTACTAATGAGGCTGGCTATCATTCATTAACAAAAGAATAAAGAACAAATATCAGCACAGTACAGGAACAATCCTTCAGCCCACCAAGACTGCCGACACATGATATCTTTCTAATCTAAAAACTTTTTGCCTCTACATGGTCTGTGCCCCTCTATTCCCTGCCTAGTCATATATCTGTCAAGATGCCTAAATGTTGCTATTGTAACCCCTCCACCACGTCCTCTGCCAGCGTATTCTAGGCACTCTGTGCAAAAAAAAACTTGCCTCTCTCATCTCCTTTGAAGTTACCTCCTTTGACCTTACACCTTTGTCCCCTAATAATTGATATTTCTGCCCTGACAAAAAGACTCCAACTGCCTATTCTGTCCATGCCTCTCATAATTTTGTAAACTTCTATCAGGGCGCTCCTCATCCTTTGACATTCAAGTGAAAACAAACCAAGTTTGTCCAACTTCTCCTCATAGCTAATACCCTTCAAACCAGGCAACATCCTGATAAACTGTTTCTGTACCCTCTCCAAACTCTCCACACCTTTTTTGTAGTGTAGTGACCAGAACTGCAAACTCTAAAGAATTATGTATCTGAACTTCTAGGTCTCTGTTCTACAACACTACCCAAAGCCCTACTTTTAATTGTATAAGTCTTGCCTTTGTTTGTTTTACCTAAACGCAATGCCTCACATTTATCCAAATTAAACTCCATTTGCCACTCTTCACCCCATTGACCGAGATCAAGATCTCTTAGTAATCATAGGTAACTTTCTTCGTTGTCCATGATACCACCAATCTTGATGTCATCCGCAAACTTATGAACCATGCTTTCCATATTCTCATCTAAATCATTTATTTAAATAACAAACAAAAGTGGACCCAACACTGATCCCTGTGGAACACTGCTGGTCACACATCTCCAGTCTAAAAAAACAACTCTCCACCATCACTGTATCTCCTGCTGTTAAGTTAATGCTGTATCCAATTGGCAAGCTCACCCTGAATCCCATATGAACTAATGTTACTAATTAGTCTACCATGCGGGACTTTGTCAAAGGCATTACTAAAGTCTAAATAAATAAATCGTAAATAAATAATGTCTATCATTCTGCCCTCATCGATCTTCTTGGTTATTTCTTCAAAAAATTCAATCAAGTTTGTGAGACACGATTTCCCTCACACAAAACCATGCTGATGATCCCTAATCATTCCTTGCTTCTCTAATCACATATAAATCCTATCTCTCAGAATCATTTCCAACAACTTACCCACCATCAAAGTCAGACTCACAGGTCTATAGTTCCCAGGCTTCTCCTTACATCGCCTCTTAAACAAAGGCACAACATTAGCTACTCTCCATTCATTCAGCACCTCACCCGTATTTATAGATGATACAAATATTTCTGCAAAGGCCCCTGCAATGTCCTCTCTAACTTCCCACAAAGTCTTGGGACATACATGGTCAGTCCTGGAGATGTATCCACCTTTATATTTTCTAAGACCTCCAACATTTCCTCTTCTGTAATATGAACTGTTTTCAAACAGCAATATTTATTTCTTTGAGTTCTCTTGCCTCTACTTCTTGCTCCATGGTAAAAACTGACGTGAAATATTCATTTACTATCTCTCCCATCTCCTGAGATTCAACACAAAGATGACCTTTTTGATTTATAAGGGTTATTATTCTTTCTCTAGTTGCTCTCTTGCTCTTAATGTACTCATATAATCTCTTTGGATTATCCTTGACCTTATTTGCCAAGGTGTATCTCATATCCTCTCATTGCCTTCCTGAACTCCCTCTTAAGAATGCCTCTACACTCTTTATACTGTTGAAGAGATTCATTTGAAACCAGTTGTTCATTTCTAATCTATGATACATTTTTATTCTTGACTAGAATCTCAATATCTTTATTCATTCATTGTTCTCCAATCCTACCAGCCTTACCTTTCACTGTAACAGCAGCAGAGTGCCTCTGAACTCTCGTTATCACACTTCTGAAAGCCTCCTACTTTTCAGATGTCCCTCTACCTGCAAACAGTCTGCTCCAATCAATTTTTGAAAGTACTTGTCTCATACCATTAAAATTTATCCTCCATCAATTAAAAACTTTAATTTTTATGGCAGGCTTATCCTTTTCCATAACTTTTTTTAAAGCAAACAGAATTATCTGGAAATTATTCATAAGATTTCACTGTTGAGGAATCTCCAGCACATGACTCATCTAAAGTCAAGCACATAAGTTTTACTCAATCAGGGGCAAATTTCTGACATTGCTTGGAATATCTGGGCCAAGGAGACACAGTAGTGGTATGAATCTACATTTCCATGGGATAAGTGGAAAAAAAAACTGAAGAACATAAAGATCAACACAGCAACTTAAGCTAATGATTCAGCTTTAGTGTTGGAACAAAGCGTTCAGGCTTTCTTCCAATATGTACAGAAATTGATGTCAGTATGTAACTCAGTGCTGTGTTATAACTGATTATAAGTATATTGGAGAAGGTAATTCTTATTCTTTACCCACATCTCTGCTGTCTTTGACCAAAACTGGGAGATTTCTCCCATGCTACAGGCCAGCCAGCTTAAAGGGAGCAGCGTATGGTCTTCTAAATTAGGCTATCCAGTGTATGAAGCATTGCTGAAAAGGGTTGATGTCTTGGTCCAGGAGCATCCTCCAACCCATTTTACCCTTATTTCAAGAATAACTAAGGGTGGGACAATGATGGTGCTAATTAAGCAACTAAAATTTACAGGAAGGCAATGTCAGTAGCAAACAAACTCCCTAGAAAGTTAACAGTTAGGTATCAGAAGGCTTAGTTCATAGAATTATGAATCAGCATGATACCAAATCAGTGTGTACTTCCAGGAAATAAAAAAAAGCTGTAGTTTATATTCATGTGCCAAAATGCACAAATACCAAATAAATCATATTTTGATTCCACACAATTCTATGAACTACTTCCACCTTCAAAATCATACATTGAATGTTGTTTTCATCATAAACATTTCATGCCAACACCTGGGCATTGTGGTCATCTCGAAGATCTAATAAAATTTTACTCCTGAATATCAAAATAATGTTTTGTTTTAGAAAATAATTATGAAAATGAGTATCAAATGGAGAGATATTCCTCAATTATTTTAAATCAGATAAGTAGAAGATTTCAAATTCGACAAAATTGCCATATATCTTTTTAATTGTCCTAAGTAATATGATGGTCTAAATAAACAGTCACAATTAGGCAATATATATATCCATCAGCATAATTACATCCATTTTGTAGTTACTTACACTGACTGCAAGAACAGGCCCCACTTTGTACATACTGTAACGGTCAGTGTGTGCACATATATTGGGTATGTCATCAGTGGCACGCCCAAGTCCCAACAGCTCATTCATGTACTGACTGAAGGCTTTCATTCGCGATGAACTTCCTCCTACACATACAAACTGCCACAAAAAAGTAATAAATATGTTATTTTTATCTTTAATTCCGCAAACATAAATTCTATAATCATCATGTAGTGGTACAGGTTGTTTTCATCGTAAACATGTCTTGCCAATACTTGGCATTGCTGGTCATCCTTAAATCTAGAGAAACCTCACTTCTGAATATCAAAACAATAATGGCCAGGGGTAATGGGGTGGCCTGTAGAATTGTGGGGAAATTTAAAGGCATGTTCCTTCCCTGAGGAAGATTTCCTGGAAGCAGTTGGGCCATGGATTTGAAAATGCGCACAGCAGTGGCAGGCAGGCTACTGAGCCTTTTAATATGTCAACTATCTAATATTTTAAGGTGGTTTTCAAATTTCACACAGGGCACAGGAATCCACAGAATTTTTGTCAGCAGGCCAGCTATAAAGACACATCAGTTCAGCAGTAGGTGTGTGGTAGCTGAGGATGAAAGTCACTGAGAGCAATTGCGTTGCAACATAAGAGGCTGCGAAGCATTATAGAGTGAAAAAATCTAGAAGTATTGCAAAGGGGCTGCACAGATCAGTGATCTATTGGAAATATCTCTCCAACTCCTCAACAGAATTACAGGATTGAGAGACACTGAGATGCAAATGTTTTCTTATCAATGGGTTTGTATAGCACGGAAATGGACCCTTCGGTTCAACTCATCCATGCCAGCCAGGTATCCCAAATTAATCTAGACACATTTGCCAGGATTTTGCCCATATCCTTTCAACTCTTCCTATTCATATACCCATCCTGATTCCTCTTAAATGTCATAATTGTACCAGTCTCCATCACCTTCTCTGGCAACTCATTCCATACACACACCACCTTCTGCATAAAAATGTTGCGTCTTAGATTCCTTTAAAATCTTTCCCCTCTCACCTTAAACCAATGCCCTCTAGATTTGGACTCCTCCACCCTGGAGAAAACACCTTGGCTACTCATCCTATCCATGGCCCTCATGATTTTATAAACTTCTATAAGGTCACTCCTCAGCCTCCAATGCTCCATCAAAGGGGACTGGTAGGAAAGAAAGCAAGTAAGAGAGAGAGAAGGAGAAAGAAGGGAAGCAAAAAAATGAGGAGGAGGAATAAAGAGGGAGCTCTGATGCTACAGGGAGTAGGGCAGCAACACACAGAGGAGCAGCATTAATGGAAAAGGGTACATGGATGAGGAGGGGATAGGGGGCCACAAACAAGGCTCATGACCATCGAAGATGCTACCCAGCTGAAAGCATTTACCATAATAGAATTTAATTCATGGAGAAAACACTACAGTGACAACAAAAACGGCATCTATCCAGGCAATGTATCAGAGCTGTACTAAATGCTGAGGAGAATATGAGGTAAATGAGATATGGTGACCGTCCATTGTGGTCAATAGTGGTGGAGGTGGCTCTCACTCTTGGCACCTCAGGATGATGTTAAGGTCCATTTGCAGGTATCTGTTATTTCCCAGTCAGCAATCTATTGTGATCTATACATCAAGTTGGTAAAGCTGTCATACACAAGAGGACACGGATCATGTTAGTCAAGCAATGACAGCACTGGCATTGGGAGCCATTATGGGATTCCCCTGTTGCAGGGGGTAATCAACTGCTTTAATGTGTCTTATCCTTCACCTGGACCTCCATGTTCAACACTGGCCATGGATTAATCTTAGTTAGCTACTTATTGGAAGGTATCACGGCCTTTTCCATGAAGGTATAAACTCTGGAAGAGCTCTGCTGCTTCCATCTCCATATGTGTCAATACTGCAAGCACTGACAAGCCAACTCCAGTCTTTCATTGTTCCCTGGCAATACAAATTGAGTGAAGATGTTGTATGCAATAGCAAGAGTGGTAGAGCATGGACCTTGGTAGGTGGATATAGTAGCAGATATATAGTGAGTATGTGGTGGCAGAGAGAAGAGTGTGGCACTTACTTTATAGAGCAGAGAAGGTCATTGTCCTTCTTCTGGTGTTGCTGCCATTTTGTGGCATCAGTGAGACGATACTAACCTGGGCTACCAGAGTCTGGTCACACAGCCTGCTCTGCTGGTGCTCTGGGTAGAGGGCTTCTCTCCCATGCACCACGCTCAACCAGGACTTCCAGGTTGGAGAGCTGCACCATCTCGCCCTTCATCAAAATATTCAGATTTTGACTTTGACCCAGAACGGCAGCTTTCAAATGCCTGTGCTCATCCAGGTTCAAGTGACATTTAAATATAGAGTGGGCACCAGGAATTATGGCCTTTTGGCATTTACCCAGCGAGTGGTGAGTTGTTCCAGGAATGGTACGTGTTAGAATGGGGCGAATATCAGGCATGAGGGATGTGGACTGGGTATTTAACAAGGCTCATTTGGTGAGATACATCAAGAAATCTCACTAAGCCTTCTGGTGAGAAGCTCTCCAAAAGACTCAATGCAATTTGCACTTAGCAAATTAACACAAGGTCCAGTTCAGCACGGTAGCCTTGTATCATGCAGCATCAACTCTGACTGACCAGGGGCTCCCCTGTGAGGCTACCCTGCATTTCACTGAGGATGCTGGGGCACAGTCATACCCAATGCATTGGTTGACAATCTGGTATAACATTTCATTGGCTCCATTCATATCATCCAGGGTTATCAGCTTGCTGTTATGAATTTCATTCATCTTGCTAGGCTGCAGCAACTCATGTTTATGTAACCACTCTCTAGGCTGCTGGCTTCCTCTGTAGCCATATTGCCAGGCCTTCATTATGAGGCTTTCTGGCTTATTCCTCCTGATGTCTGGGAATAAAATGCCTCTTTGTGCCTTCAGGAGCACATTCATGGAAGCAACATTAAACTTTGTAGCCACCCTTCCTCCAACTGAAGCTGTTTCTCGCCAGCTCCCTTGTTTAGTGTCTCCTCCAATACACTCCATGTATGATGCTTTTGCTGTGAAGGCTACCATCCATTTAAGCATGGTACCTAGTTTGAGCCACCAGAAACTTCTTTCTGCTCTGCACCTACTTTTAATCAGCTCCCATGCCTGATAACCACTAATCAGATGCTGAAGACGAAATCCACTTTTACATCCTGAGCTGCCATTGCCGTCACATAACCCAAGTTGGGACCTGATATAAGGACTTCCTCCCTTCCAGTAAATTCAGCCCAGATATCATTCTGAGAGCTTACCTTGACATCACCAAACATGGCATGGAGATTGTGTGTTTTCGTCCCAAGGTCAAAGTGATATAAAACATCTTCTTCCATTGTTTCAAGATAAGGGTTTGATACATAAGCACATTTTGGTCTGTAAGAAAAAAGAGCTATTGGCTGCAGTACTCTTCTTTGTTTACTGTTTTAATAGCTGTAAAAGGTGCTTGTCAACATTTGCAATTCATTGTAACCATACTTTACTCATTCTTGAAGATCCTAAATACATTTATAAGTGAAATCATTCAGCATACAACACAGGCTATCTGCTCTCGTTGTTTAAAAAATAAATAGTATAGAGTGCAGGGGAGGATCCAGTCACTTGTGGTCCATGTAGGTACCAAAGATATAAGCAAGACGAAGATTCTGCATAGGAAGTACGAGGAATTGCTATCAATTTAAACAGCAGAGCCTCAAAGGCAATAATTATTGGATTATTATCTGAGTTGCAAGCAAACTGACATAGTGTAAAAAAGATTAGAGAAATGGGTTGCTCAAAGGCTGATGTGTGGGAAGTGAGTTCTGATTTGTGGGGCACTGGCACCAGTACTCAGGAAGCTGAGATCCGTAGCTATGGTAATGTCAACAACTGAAATATGCTGGGACTGGTGTTCCAGTGAGCTGCATAACGAGGGAAGCAGACAAGATTTTGAACTGAATATTGGGGACAAGAGATTCAATTTGGGAAAACGTGATATTTCAAAGAAATAGAAACTAAGCAAGAGAGAAAGGTACTAAATAAGACAAATTAGAAACAGTGATCCCAAGAAGGGAAAGAATGTACAACTCTAAACAGTAAGTCAACAGATAACACTAGATGTTACAAAAATGACAAAGGTACAGAACTAGAGACTCTGTATCTAAATACACACAGTATTCAGAGCTAAACAGATGAACATCCAGCACAAATAAGGAAGAATATTGGATATATAGGGAGCACAGGAAGCTAGAAACAGGTGGAGGGCTGGTTCTGTTAAGTAACCTTGGCATAAGCAGAATGGAAAGGGCTGACCTAAATTCAAAAAACCAGGATGTGGAAGCTGTTTTGGTAGAGATAAGAAATGATAAAGGCAAGAAATCACTTGCTGGATAGATGTATATGCCTCCTAACAATAACGTCATGTTAAAATGGAGTATGAAGGAAGAAATAATGGGAAATCATTGGAAAGATATGGCAATGATCAACATATAGATTGGAAAAAATCAGGTGGACTAAGATAGCTTAGAAGAGAAGTTATAGAGTCATAGAGTCATACAGCATCGAAACAAACCTTTTGGTCCAACTCATCCATGCCATCCAGACATCCCGATCCGATCTAGTCCCATTTGCCAACATTTGGCCCATATCCCTCTAAACCCTTCCTGTTCATATACACATCCTGATGCCTTTTAAATGTTGCAATTGTACCTGCCTCCACTATTTCCTCTAGCAGCTCATTCCATACACACACCATTGTCTGCATGAAAAATATTACTCTTCAGGTCCTTTTTAAATTTTTGCCCTCTCACCTTCAACCTATGCCCTCTAGTTTTGGACTCCCCGCCGCCCCCCCCCCGCTCCCCCCCCCCCCCCCCCCCCCCCCCACCACCACCAGGAAAAGACTTTGGCTATTCACCCTATCCTTGCCCCTCATGATTTTATAAACCTCTATAAGGTCACTCCTCAGCCTCCAACACTCCAGGGAAAATAGCCCCTGCGTATTCAGCCTCTCCGTTTAACTCAAACCCTCCAGTCCAATCAACATCCTTGTAAATCTTTTCTGCACCCTCTCAAGCTTAACAATATCTTCTCATCCTTGTTTTCAAATTCTATCCATTCTCATCTTTGTAATTTCCACCAGCCCTGCAATCTTCTGAGATATTTGTACTTCATTAATTCTGGCCCCTTGAACATCCCTAATTTTAATTGTTCTGCCATTTGTGACTATGCCTTTAGTTGCCTAGGCCCTAAGCTCTGGAACACCCTCCTGATATAACTCTGTCTCTCTACTTTGCTTCCCTCTTTTAAGAAGCTTCTTAACACCTACCTGTTTTACCAAGCTTTCAGTCATCTGATTACATGTAGCTCAGTATCATATTTTATTTTACCACACTCCCATGAAGTATCATGGCATTATAACAATGTGATATAAGTTTCTGCTGTTGTATTCTAAATTCTAAATCTTCTGCTGCATAGATGTGTCAGCATTACACAGGTTATTGTCCATATTCTGCCAAAATCTATATTTCTGCTAGTTAAACCAGGAGTGACCTGCTGAAATGGTAGCCCTGACAATGAAACTTATAAATGGAAATAATCTACAGAAGTGTCTTGAATATTTTAAATGATGCAGCTGTGAGTATATTTTTTATCGGCAGCTTGTTTTATCATGGGATGGTCCTTGGGAAGAACAATTGATGATGCAAGGTTTTCAAATAATTGTCTTTGTGGTTTGTATGGATGGCTCCCTCATGTTTTGTCATTGCTAGAAAGCACCAATACTGTTTCTATTAATATCCGCCAGTCTATTTCATATTTATCCAAACACAGTCAGTCTATTATTCTCCCTCTGCTGTCACAATTCCAAATCTTTGATGGAGGATGACATAGTGACAAGCCTTGTGCAAAGAATAAATAATTTGTCTCTGGTTTTTCTACCAAACTTTTGAAATCTTCATCCTTTCGTAATTGACCCACATCCAAAGGAAATAGTTTCTCCATTATCATCCTAAATATCTCTAAAAACTGGTTCTGATTTTGTAGACAACAGCGAGGCAAGAATATTCAATACCTGCTCTGAAGCTATTTACAAAGGCCTGGTAGTTTAAATCTGGGCCAAGCCAAGGGGAAGTCTTCGTGTGTGGCATCTGTGATATTAGCAAGCAACCAATCACACCGAGGAAATCCCACACAAGAAACCAAGAAGTTAAAAGCAGAATTTTGGTGAAGAGCTATATTTGACTCAAAGAGTTAACTCTGTTTCTTTCTCCTCACATGACGCCAGACCTGCCGAGTATTTCAAGTATTTTCTGTTTATATTACAGATTTCTATAATCTACAGCATTTTGTTTTTATTAGGGTTAAGAAGCTTTTATTTATCCAATCTATAAGTTAAATTTTCAGATAATAATATTAATTGAAGCTAAAGATAAATTACTTTTAAGGAATTATTTTTAAAAAGAAACATGAGGAATGTTTGCATCTAAAGGAAAAATATGACATTCCACAAATATAAAATGAGTTTTTCAGGGCCAGTGATGGCAATTAGCAACAATTATGAAGATTGTCTTCCACCTTAATAACCCAATTACACCTGTTTCAAAAGGTATAACCTTTTCAAGGCTTGTTACAGCAAGGTATATAGCATAGGTGTTCTCATAAATTGAATCCCCATTGATTGCAGTTTGGGAATGATTCAACTGTGCATCCTATAGAGAAGTGTCAAATTACTGACAACAATTTCTGAACTTCAAGGTTGCCCTGCATAAGTGCAGCCTCTAAAACTTGTTGCAAGGTAAAGTGCAAAAATAATGCCCAACACTGACAATTTTGTTGTCATTGCTACTGTAAAGTTCAGGCCATTATTTCTCCTGTTAACTTGTTTTGCTCAAAGGAGAATAATCCCAGTTCTCCAATCTTTTGCACATAAATCAAGTCCCTTACTCCTGGTATTTTCCTAGTAGTTCTTCCATGTGGTTTTGTTCTTCATGTGAATATATGTGTCCACATGCAATGTTGACCCATTCTCCATGTGATTTGGTGCCCAATCCAGAAGTTGTTAGAAATCATATAATCATATATATCTAACAATTCGTTAACTTAGCATTAATTAATTTAGTTAGACCTCCTCAGAAGACAGACACAGGATACGACCAATAGGGTACCCTTCGTTATCCAGTACTTCCCTGGAGCAGAGAAACTACGCCATGCTCTTCGCAGCCTTCAAAACATTATCAATAACAATGAGCACCTTGCCAAGATCTTCCCTACACCTCCACTTCTCACCTTCAAACAATCATCAAGCCTTAAACAGACCATTGTTTGAAGCAAACTATCCAGCCTTCAGGACAACATCGACTACAACATCACACAACCCTGTCATGGCAAACTCTGCAAGACATGTCAGATCATCGACATGGACACAACCATCACACGTGGGAACACCACCCACCACGAGCACAGCAGATACTCATGTGACTCGGCCAACATTGTCTATCTCATATGCTGCAGGCAAGATGCCCTGAGGCGTGGTATATTGGCAAAACCATGCAGATGACACGACAACTGATGAATAGACAACAATTGCTAGGCAGGAATGTTCCCTCCCAGTGGGATAACACTTCAGCGGTCAAGGGCATTCGGCCTCAGATTTTCAAGTAAACGTCCTCCAAGGTGGACTTCAGGATACACGACAATGCAGAGTTGCCGAGCAGAAGCTGATAACCAAGTTCAGCACCCATGAAGACGGTCTCAATTGTGATCTTGGGTTCAGTCGCACTACAGGTGACCCCACCACACAACAGACTCTCTCACACACACTCTCCCACACAAACATACTCACAGACACATACACGCACACACACACACTCTCACACATGTGCACATACATACACTTGCACAGACACACACATACACATGCACATGCACACACACAAACACAGACACACACGTACAGACACACACAAACATGCATGGACAGACACACACACATATACACACACACTCACAGACGCACACACACATGCACACACATGCATACACACACGCGCACACACACACAGACACACACACACACAGACACACACACGCGCACAAGACACACACACACGCACAAGACACACACGCACACAGACACACACACAAAAATCAAACAAAAATTGTCACAGCTATGTTTAAATAACTAATGGTTTGATCCTTTTTTTTATCTCTATAGATTCCTGTAACTCTACGATCCATAAAACTTCTCAGTTACCCTGGCCCTGGTGTCTTGAACAATTCTTTTATTGTTTCTCCATTGACATTCACGCCTTTAGCCATTGAGAGCCTATGGTCTGGAATGCCTCAATTATACTTCTCACAGAAGCTCTTCTTTAAAGACTATTTTTAAAATTCATTTT